GGGGGGGGGGGGGGGGGGGGGCTGATAAGGGACGTGGCCAGGACCACACGTGCGCGCGCGCACGCAAGTACGAGAGTGAATGTGCGTGCACACTTACGATCTCCTTCGCGACGAGAGCACGCGTGTATCTGTCTCAAGCATTACGGGGTGTAAATTGCGTCAAGTATACGAAGCTGTAGGAGAAACGAAGAAAGGCAGAAATATAACGTGTATGTCGTGTGGAAAAGATATGTGAGGAATAAAAAGAGATGCTCTGGTCCCGCTGATGCATAGGACACGTTAATCCATCAGAAACCTTCCGAACACACTGAGCCTTTCGGGCAACTCACTCGAGAGGGACGAAAGGGAGTAAAGGTCGGTTGCAAAAGGAAGAAAGAATGATGCGATGATCGGTGGATGCTGGTTCCCAAACTCACTCAGGGAGACGCCCTAACGATTGGAGAAGAGACACCCTGTGCGCCATCTTCGGGATGATAAAAGTAATTCGCAATCCTTGATGCATATACCGATATCCTTCGCACATTCGGAAAACAATGGAGTTAGTTAACAATTTTAGGGATTAATGTTCTACAAACTAGTTAAGTTGGCACGATGTCAATATGACATTAATTAAGTTAATATATAGTCAGAAAATAGTTAAATTTATATTGAGAGTAAATTTGTATACGAGAAATAAATAATAATTCGCCTAAATAATTTATGTACACGTAGTTAGTGATGTGCGCGGGAAAGATGTTATGCAATGATAATTTACAGATAAAAAATTGTTCAGTTGAATTAATTATTATTGTATGCAACTTAAATTTATCATCTTTAACAAATACTTAAACTTTTTAAAGTAAAGGCAGAACTACAGTTCTCTTTATATCTTTATATTACGTATCTAGTGTAAACTTATTTGCTATATAGTGCATTTTCGATAAGTACTGTCAATATAACTATAATTATTCTCCTAGAAATTTATCATATATATTATACAAACAAAATATATATATCAAAATAATAATGCCATGTAAGCATTTAAATAAATTTTAAAGCAAATCAATATACATAGACGTATGTAACTATAATCCTGTGTAGATAGAATACAAATAATGACTGAACAATAATAAATAAAATTTGATAATAATAATTTGTATATATCTTATATTTCATCATAAAATATAACAAAATATATAACCGTCAAGGCCAAGGCGCATATTCGCTTACCTGTCTTATCGACTGAGCTTACCTGAAGAAATTATCTAGCGAGAGATTTGCAAGCTTAGTAGGTACAATTTATCTACAAAAATATGTATGAGATTATAACATTACAAATATTAAGCAATATGCAATTACGCAGAATTATATCTATGAAATATTTTGTTATTTCTTTCAATGCAATACATTCATAATAATGATAATATCAGTGTACACAGAAGTTCTCCCTGTTTCTTTATAAAATTACAGATTTTTATTATAAACGCAGGTTAAATGCAAGTTTAGTCATGTTGCACTGTTCGATGCAAGGTACAATCCTACATACGACAAGTA